CCTCTTCCTCCCACTGCTCCAAATTTGGGAATTGCTTCTAGAATCACCTTTAAATCCATCTTGCTGTAGTTTTCTTTCTTTATCTGGACCCCATCTGTGTAAAGAAAGGGCTGGGAGGGAAGGAAGACAGATAAGGTCCCCCACTCCCCACAAGGCTCCCACCGCTCTGTTCAGTGAGCAGTCTGGGGCTAAGCACTTGGGGTCGGAGGAGGGAATGGGGGTAGGCAGGGGGAGGAGAGAGACCCTCTGAGTCCACTCTTGTTGTTGCAGGAGGCATTTTTATAAGCTGCGCATGGGTGAGAATTTGGTGGAGATGACTTCTCAGAAGGAGGCCATGCAGGTATCCATCTGCCATGTGGGCCCAGGCAGACAGGATGCCCGGCTAACCCACCGTGCGGGGCTGGCGCCTAGAGACCGCTCTCATATATAGGATGGCCCCTGGGGCTAGGGGGAGACTGGGGAGAGAATACAGAGAACCAGGGACCCCTGGAAAGACAGGGAAGCCACATTCTAAATGGAGCACCCAACAGTCACGTGTTTGCTCGCCGGGCACTTCGGGCATACCGTAGGCCAGCATGACTGCTGGCTTCTCTGTGGGAGCTGCTGGTGGGGAGACTGGGGCAGACGTTCTGAACGTAGCAGTTTCACCTCAACTTCCAAGACACATCTTGGAACACAGAACCCCACCTGTGTTTTGGGTTCTCTCTTCCCCACTCCAGAGTCTGCCCATCATCTGGGCAGGGGTGAAAGTCTGTTTTCCCTTCCCTGTGATGTGTCCCCTTCTGCAGATCCTCCAGTGTGTGGGTCAGGGCTCACAGCCTCATTGCCAGCCAGGTACAGGCTCACCAGTCTCCTTGGGACCCCCACCCAAGGCTTGGGGTCTGGGGGACTGCCCTCCAGAGTTTGAGGTCAGGGAATGACAGCTCCCAGAGTCCTCCTTGTAACCAGAATTTTCTCTGCAGGAAGCTCATTGACCCTGATGCAGCCATAGGTGGGACCTCGTCCCATGCTCTGCCCCTGGGCTGACCTGTGACACTGTCTACCCTCAGGAGGAGAAGGTCACCAGAAACTGTGATGACTTGGGCCTCGTGAACAAGGCAGCATTGAATCCCGACCGCCTCTGTGGAAACAACTCTACAACATCTGATTTTCTATGACCTGCTTCCAAACCTCTTGCCAAGTGGAGGTGAACCCTAATTTACCCAGGAGGGTGATGACCCTGGGGCACTCTGAGGAGAAACGAGTCATGGTCATGTTGTCTACTTGTCTTTTCCTTTTCTCCGGATCTGATCTCCCCCTTTATCTTCCAATGGACTGTCCCTCACATCTTTTTCCTCCAAGCCCACCCTGGACTTTTTGGATGGATTAGAAAAGAAGAGGAGCTTCCTATATCCTCACAGGCTGGCAAAAGCACTCTGTAGTAACTGGAATAGAAGTTAGGCTGCTCTAACAAGAGACCAAATACAGTAACTTCAACATGAGGGAATTTTATTTTTCTCTCCCATACTCATCTGGGTATGCTATGGTAGTTTAAGGTGTCAGAATATTGGATCCTTCTATCTTATTTTTCTCCAACCCTGAAATGTTACCTTTTGATTGTGAGATTCATGGTGGCCCCACTGTGTTCACATTCCCTCCAGCAGTAAGAGGAAGTTGAAGGCACACCCATTCCCATTGTGGACACAACCCAGAAGTTGCAGGTCATTTCCACTCACTCCCCATTGGCTAGAGTTGAGTCACATGGCCACCTCAAGCTGCAAGGGGTTCTGGGAAATAGAGTTTTTATTCTATTTCCAGGGAATTCCCAACCATGGACTCATCCCTGAGACTTCTGACATTGGTGAGAATGCTGCCAGCCAGCCACAGTTTTAGTGCCCATCTCCTGAAGGCCAGGATGTGTCCCTGGTCATTCTGTTCATGGGCTTCCCAGAGGAGGGAGTCCCTCTCACACATTAAGACCGAGGAAATCAAGATGTTCTGGTGTTCCCTAGGGAGAGGGCATGCCAGGCAATGGGGTTGCCTGAACAGGCATTTTATCAGGCCCCTGGGAGAAGAGGGGCCCCCCCATTCCTGTCCCCAGGAAGCATGGAGAGCATCCTTATTTCTGCTCTAGGTACAGCCCTCTCCGTGTTCAAGTGGGCTCACTCGGTCTTGTGTGCCAGGGGCTGTTAAGCGGAATGAGGCTCACAAAGAAGGAATGACTTGCTTCCACGATGTCAGTGCCTGAGAGGAGGCAGTTCTTTGGCGGGCTAGTGCCTCCCCTCACAGCCTGGTGGCAGATGGTAGGAGGTGCAAAGAGCCCGCATGGAATTTGGGTTGAGAAACCTGGAAGGTAGTGGGGAATTGTTATAGGGGCTAACAGCTTGGGAAGAAATTGGAGGCCGAGTAAGCTCCATGTAACCGCAGCCGGGGGCTTCCTGGCCCCAGGTCCCATTCCTCGTAGTGCCTGATTGCCAGACTCTTCCTGGGAGCCTGTCTGGCATGTCTGCCCAATAAACATCCACCCTGTGACGTAACTGGAATGAGTCTCTTTCTTGCAACCCAAATGGCTGCACTGGAACACAGAAGATCTAACTGTGAATGCAGCTCATTCTGGGAGACTGCCTGCTGGAGGTGGTCAGCAAGTGCAAATTACATGACATTTGCCACAAACTACCTATGCTCAGGAGATGTGTGTTCTTTCCTGCATGGCTGGACTGGACCGGCCAAGGAACCTCCAGGAATGCAACCCCGCTAGCTTACAAGTAGTTAATCAGCACTACCCTAAGGATATTATTACCGGATGTACCTAATGAAACCTCTACCATAAAGAACAAATATACTTTTCAGATTCCAAGTCTCTTGAGATGAAAAAGACCTCCCAGGGGACCAGAAAAAATGGCACCAGGGCACCTGCTAACACGACCTCCTGGGCCTCCAGTCAATGACACCCACCTTCTCAGGACAGCCCTGCCCCAAATTTTGCCCTTAGAAACCTTCACTTGCAAGCCATTGGGGAGTTTGGGACTTTGGAGCCTTAGTTTCCCATTCTCCTGGGTGGTGCCATATCAGTAAATAGCTTATCTTTCTTCACTGCAAAAGCTCAGTGTCAGTTTTATTGGCCTGCTACCCATAGGGTGGACAAACTCTCCTACCTGGTTTGGCTACAGAATGTTGTATCTGGATTATGGTGGTGATTACAAAGGCGTATGAATTTATCAAATTCATCTAAGTGGATACTTAGAACAGGTACCCTTTATTTTTTTAAAGGATCTTATTTATTTATTTATTTATTTACTTACTTACTTATTTTTAAGATTTTATTTATTTATTTGACAGAGAGAGACACAGCGAGAGAGGGAACACAAGCAGGGGGAGTGGGAGAGGGAGAAGCAGGCTCCCCGTGGAGCAGGGAGCCCGATGTGGGGCTCGATCCCAGGACCCCGGGATCATGACCTGAGCCGAAAGCAGCCGCTTTAACGACTGAGCCACCCAGGCAGCCCCTAAAGGATCTTATTTATTTATTTGAGATAGAGCAAGAGAGATAGTACGAGCAGGGAGGAGAGGCAGAGGGAGAGGGAGAAGCAGGCTCTCCACTGAGGAAGCCCCACCCAGGGCTGGATCCCAGGAACCCCCGAGTAGCCACCCAAGCGCCCCCAGGTGCACTTTATTGTATGTAAATTTATATCTTAATAAAGTTAACTTAAAAACCTGAAGTAATAATAATAGGATAATAGTAATAACCATAAGACCACTCAGTGCACTGATATGAAGGATCTCCAAAGTGTAGTAAGTGGGGGAAAAAAGTGCAGAGAAATGTTAATCAGAGGAAAAAATAGGTCTGTATTGTCTTGGGTGTGCATAAAATAATCGAAAACCTACACAAGAAGCTAAGGATGGTGGTTTCGAGCTGGTTGGGGAATGTGGGTTGAGAGGAGGGACAGAAAAGGGAGGGATGAACCCTTAACATCTTAAACTTTTGATGTTTGAATCAGACCAACATAGATTTCTCTCGCTGCTGGAACTCTTCCTAAGGGAACCTTCGCATTTGTTCTCAAAAACAAATAGATTTGCTTAAAAGCTAACATCCCTTGTGGGGCACCTGGGTGGCTCAGTCCGTTGAGCGACTGACTCTTGGTTTCAAGTCAGGTCATGATGTCTGGTAGTGAGACTGAGCCCAGGCTCCCCGCTCAGCCGGGAGTCCGCTTGAGATTCCCTCTCCCTCCTCTTCTGAATCCCCTCCCCAAACAAACAAACAAACAAACAAATAAAATCTTTAAAAAAAAGTTAACATCTCTCACTATCAGAATACCGACTACTCGCTCTCCGAATTTACTCAGTACACAAACCTTTAAAAAAAGAAACATGTTGCCAAAGCAGAAAGCAGAAAGAATCCCCCACGTCTGGGAGTCTGTGGCTTTGTGCAATTGTTCCCTCTGGCCACCACCAGGGACAAGGGCTGCCCCCGCCCCCACTCGGGCGCCCGCGCGGCCGCCACAGAGGCTGGCGGCCACCGCGCGGCGGCCCTGGCGAGCTCCGGGCCGCACCTGCTCCTCGCGGGCGCCCGCCTCCCTCCTCCTAGGCCCACTTCCGCCGGGTTCGGGCCAGGGCCCCCTCTGGGCAGGCTTGGGGAGCAGGCGGGGACAGAGGTCCGCCCAGGGGACGGAGGCAGCGGCGGGGGGCGCTCCCTGCGCAGACCCGAGCCGCAGCAGGCGGCCCCCAGCCCTGGCCTCTCCCCCACGCACCCCCAGTGGCCCTCACAAGCCCTTCCGAGGGGCCCCGCCCCATCCCCTCTCCACCCCCGCTCCGCCCCCGCGGGGAGAGGGCGCGGGGACCTACCGGGCGGCTGGGCGCTGGCGGAGCCCCGAGGGGCCGCACGGATTCCGCCGGCCCTGCTCCTGCGCTTAGACGGCCGCTCCGGCTCCCCCTCCCCGAGGGCGCGCGGGGTCGGGCGGAAGGGCCGTGGGGGCCCCGTGCGGGGTGGCGCGGGAGGGTCGGGAGGCTGCGGGCTGGCTGCTCTGGGCGTGCGTCGGCGCGGATCCAGCCGGGGCGGAGCCGGGGCCCGGCCGCCCGCAGCCACCGCGTGGAGGCCGGGACGCTCCCAGCGATGGGCCGGGGGGTTCCGAGAGCTCGAGGGTCGCGGGCGTGCCTGCTGCTGCTGTTCCTGCGGCTGCCTTGGCCGGTGTGGGGGGCCGAGGCGTTTCAAGGTGAGTGGGCCGTGCCCCGCGGCGCAGGGGAGGTCGCTGTCCGCCACCGCGGTGGCTGGGAGGGCAGGGAGGGTCTCCGCAGGACCTGCGCAGGGACTCTCAGCTGTACTGGGGCTGGCCTTGGGGCCCAGACTGACACACTCTGCGCAGTTGCCACAGTGGCAATGGCAAAGCGGGGTGGGGGGGGGTCCCCTCTGAGCAGCCGCCCGAGTTCCCAAAATCCTCTGCGGGGACTCTGCCTTGACCACCCCCAGACCCCATGCACCGGTGTGGACGTCCCTGCACCTCCATCCCTGAGGCCCAGCGCACGGGGTCCCAGGAGTCTCTGCTGTGCCCTCACCCTCCTGCAGCCTCCATGCTCATCCCCAGTATGGCAGGGCCTTGGGGCCGTGTGTGTGTGTGTGTGTGTGTGTGTGTGTGTGTGTGTGTGTGTGTTGTTGATATTGTTGCCTTGTTTGGTGAGATAGAGAAGGGTGCTTCAGACAGAAGGGGCCCTGGGAGTTAACCTCCACACCCCCAGTGCGTAGGACTGGCCAGTCCTGTACCCTGTATGGGAAGTGCCCTGTGGAGGGACTGGGAGGACACCGGACACTGGGGAGGAGGCAGGAATGGCCAGGCTGGGCTGGGCAGCCTGGGGGCACTGGGTTCCAGAGCACTGTCCGGGAGTACCCAATAGGAATAGGGTCCTGTTCTGTTCTGGGGCCCCGAGGGGGTGGGATGAAAGCCCTCATGCCTTTGGGGATGGCTGCTTCCTCCTCCTCAGCCTGGGGTCAGGAGAGGGTGAGATGACCCCTGGGAGGAGTGGAGAGGGGCTTTGTGCTCCCCAACACTGCAATGGCTCCCTGATCCTCATCATCACAGCTCCATCTCTGCCCGCCTCTCCCTCCTCAGGGGGGATGCCATGAAGAGAACCCCCAACCGACACGCACACCTGCACACAGGCCCACCCTCCCCTCTCTACCTGGGAGGCCTAGGGCCAGCAAGAGGTAGTTCACCACACCCAGTTAAGTCCTCTCTGGGCTGGTTGCCCCCCACTCCTCCCAGATTCACTCAGATCCCTCTCCTACTGTAGCAGCTGGCTCATCCAAGCAGGGAGGGCTTCCTGGGGGAAGGGGACTCCTAGAGCGGCTGCTATTCTGGGTCTTTGATGACGGGGTCTGGGGGAGAGGATGGAGGAAGAGAAAGGAGTTGGGTGGACTGGCCGGAGCTGGAACACTTCTGCTGGAACACAGTCAGCCATCTCAGAGGGTCAGGGCTGGCTGGGTGCTGGGTGGCTGTCGGTTCTGGGAGCTGGGCTCGCTTCCCCAGGGATTGTGTCAGAGGACAGGGAGGGCTGCCTACAGGCTCTGGGCTGCCTGGGGCCTGGCTCCTGCAGGGCGGGTGTGGCAAGAGCCTCTGGGACCCACTGTGGGGTGGGGGGCTGGGAGCATTCCAGAGCCTTCTGAGTAATGCTTGGCTCTGGTATTCCTCCAGAGCCCCCTTAAGCACGCCAGGCCTGGGAGCACTCAGGCTCTGTCCCCCAGGGCTCCCCACCTTGAAGATCCCGGGAGGGGGCTTCTGAGCTAGAGTCCCCAGAAGTCCCGCTTCCAGCATGAAGCCCCCAAGGGGAGCTCTGGGCAAGGTGGGCCTCCCCAGACATCTGGCTGTTGTTTTTCTCAGATGGCGGAGACACAGGCATCCTCTCTTCACAGATCTCTCACCCCAAAGGCATCTGCTGCCCAGTCTAAAAATACCCAAGGCTGCGTCCCCTTTCCTTTCCCTTCTGCACTGGGGGCCTTGGTCTCTTCCTTGTGACCTCTGACCCCCAAGCCTCCCCCAGGTCAGTGGGGCTCCCACTTCCCCGGCTGAGCTCCTCTGTCTCTCTTCTGCCACCTCCCTGGTTCCAAGGATGCCCCCAGGGGTGACCACCCTTCTCCAGGCTACCTTTGAATGTTGAAGATGGAGTCTCCTATTCCACCCGGCTGATGTCCTGTAACCTCGTCCCTTGGTCGTCCCCGCCCCCCTGTTTCCCCCTCATCTTTTACTCTGTCCTCCCCCCAGGAAACAACCCCGGAGAGCCAGTCACCCTGCGCTGGGTCCCGGATGCAGGAGCCCGACGCACGGTCGCCCCAGAGGAGCCGGTCAGTGCCAGGTCATCCTTCCCGCCTCAGGAGCCCAGGGTCTCCCAGCCCCTTGGCCCTTCCTCATTCAGCGTGGCAGTTTGGCTGGGGACCTTTTGGCCCCTTCCAGGAGGGTTGGCAGGTGGGGGTGGGGAGATAGCTGGCTCACATGAGCCTTCACACATGGAAGTCATTTTCAGGCTTCCTCCCCCATCTCCCCCTGCTCCCTCCCTCCCAGAATTATTCAGGCCACCCCCACCCCACCAGGCAGAGGTAGGGCCAGAATTTGTGGGGCCTGAAACTTTTCAGGGACCTCTTTAATAAAACCCCCAAATATCTTCCTTTTGCCCAGTTTACTAGAACATGTTACCCTGTGGATACATTGCTGTTCCCGCCAGGAAAACTTCAGCCTCCCTGTCTCATGCAGAATCCACTTCTGGCCAGGGGGCACTGGTCACTCTCCTAGTGCCCCCCAAATGCACCTGATTTTGCTTCTCCAGGATGCTCTGCCCCAGCTTCCTGCCAACACCCACCCGTCACACACTTCCAGAATAACTGTGTCCCCATCTATATGTGTATGTGTCACACAGCTGTGCTGCAAACCAGGAGGCCAGTGCCCTTGGTATCCCCATTTCACAGAGGGGCAGACTGAAGCCCAGAGAGGTTGGAGAAAGTGCCCAAGGTCACATAGCCTGAGACCAGAAGCCCAGAAGCCTGAGGCCCACTAAGGTCTGAAAGACTTGTAACCATTGACCAGTGTCCCCCCAGGTCTAGAGAGCTCATCCTGAATTTTCAGGCAAGAGAGGACAACCCACTCTCTAAGCCAGCAAAGAGGAACGCAGGATGACGGTGTAATGAAGTCTAGGAGGGCCCCATAGGCCCAGCAGGCTTTAACCTAGGACCTTCACTGGGTCCCCCAGACCCTCAGGGGCCCCCATTCAAGTGGGCCCAAGCTTTGAGTCGGTTGTCCTAGACATCAGTGGCAGAGGGGAAGGCTAGGCACATGCTGGAGTCACACTGACTGTGGTCCTCCCTCCCGGTCCAGCCTGGGCTGTGACGAAGAAGGGCATCCCAAAGGGCATTGCTTTCCCCTGCCTCCGGGAAGCCTGCCAAGATGAGGACAGCAGAGTTGAAGCAGGGAGTCGTGTCCAAGTGGCAGGAAATACCCACATTTCAGGTTAGGGATGGGGTGCTAGGTGAATAGCCGGGTCACCAAGAGGGCAGGAAGCAAGGACAGGAGGGGCTGCAGAAGGACAGAGAGAGGGGAGCCCGGGCTGGGGTTGAGGTAGGAGGAGGCTTTCCATCTGGGGCTGCTGTCTGTGCTTGGTGCAAACCTTTCTCCAGTAAAGTAAGTGGCATTCTGGCCATGTGAGCTCATGCCTGGGGCCTTGGGGAGGTCTCTTGGCTGGGGTGGAGGAGTTGTCTGCTCCCACCTGCAGAGAAAAGGCCCCCAAAAGAATCTGAGCCCCTTGGCCTGGGGCCCAGCCCAGTGCATGTTGGGATAAAAGGGCAGGGCTAGCAAGGGTGGGGGCCAGCATTCCGAAGACACAGCAGCTCTCCATGAGGCTCGAGGCTCTAGGGCCGGCTCCAACTCTGGGCCCCCAGCCAGGCAGAGTGGACAAGGAGGGGCAGATGGGGTAATCCCACAGGGTGGGAGAGGCAAAGAAGTTATGGGGAAGGAGAGGCTGGCCCAGGATGTTTTCTTCTTGGCCTGGAATGGGGGGGTTAATGTTTACTTCATGGGCTCAGCGAAGCAGGTGTGGGGCAGGCCTTCAGGAGGCCAGGGAAATTTTCGGTTTGTCGGAATTGGAGGAGGAGGGAGTAAAGTCTGAATTCTACGGGGAGTGGGGAGCAGCAAGATACAGAAACAAGAGGTTGTAAGGACGCCTGAGCTCGCCTACCCGACGCTCCTCCACCCAATGTCTTCAGGACCCCACTGTCCTCCCCACTTAGAGGAAGGCTTCTGGCTGTGAAACCGGAGGGAGGGCCAGAGGAAGGGCCCAGTCACCTTGTGTAAGGCAGGATATCTTTCTGGGACCCCTTGTCTCATCTCTCCGGAGGATGTGGTGTTCACCTAGCAGACTGTGTCAAATGCCTGTTGTCAGAGCCAAAAGCATCCCGAGTTTGGGAACACATATGCCTGCATGTTCTCACCCCCACCCACACCCACACCTACCATGGCAAGTGGGGAGCCTACTGCCCCCTGCCTCCTGCGCTCTCCCTCACCAGCCAGCTCCCCAGCCCACCTGCTCCCTCAGCCCTGTTCTCCTTCTTGCCCAGGTCTCGAAGCTAGACACAGGGCTGGTGGCCTTGAAGGCTGAAGGGCAGGAGCTCCTGCTGGAGCTGGAGAAGAACCAGTGAGTACCAGGCTGGGGAGGAGGCTAGCAGCCAAGAACAGCCCCCCTCTCCGGGGGCGGGGGGATATCAGTGTGGGGGGCACTGAGGGGAACACATGAGAGAGGCTGGATGGGGCGAGGGCCCCAGAAGCAGAGGCACAGGTGACAAGAAGAGTCATGCCAGCGCATGACCGGCTCCCTCAAGGCTGAAGTAGGCTGCTGAGGCTGGGTCAGCCCTGCTGTGGGGCACACCCCTCGTTCCAGCCCCAGGAGCACCTTGTTAGCTTCCTGCCAGAAATGAGTGAGCATCACCCTGTGGGTGCTCAAAGGGTGTGCTTAGTCAAAAGAGAATCCAAGATGGATTCCAAGGATGGGCAGGTGCTCTGGGCTGAGGGATGGATAGCAGGGAAAAAGGTGCCGTGGCTACCAAGTCCAGACCCATTCAGGGGGAGGCAATCTGTCTGGCTCGCCTGGAGAGTCTCCATCGGCAGGGAAGGGAGCAGCGAAATGGGGAGTCCCAGGAGGACCAAATCACAGAGGCCATTTTAAGGCTGAGTGTCCAGGATGGGGCAAAGCCAAAGACTCTGAGCTGGTGAATGAGCAGGCAGAGCTGGGCTGGGTGGAGTGGGTGTCCAAGATGGAGTGTGGGGTCTGGAAACCATCCAGATGGAATTACCAATAGCTATCATTCACTGAGCGCTTGCTTCATCAGAGGCATTGTTCGAAGCACTGTACACATGTTGACTTCTCCCCCATGGAGCCAGATGGACCAGGAACACATTCTAGTTCCACCACATTTAACCACAGTTCCTCTGGGGCTCAACGTCCCCACACATGAAAGGGGTGACCACATCGCCTACTCTTCGAGTTCAGTGTGTTGTGTGTATTGGGGGAGCCAAGCTAGAGAAGGTGGAGGAAAGACTAGGAGGTGGAGCAGCAGGCATCACAGGTCTTTGGGTTGGTCTGGCAGTAAAGAGGTCAAGGCGAGATGGGGGTTGAGGATTTCCCTTACAGAAGAGAAATTGACTCATGATTGATTCACCTTGGTGGGAAGGGCCCTGGAGAGATGGAGAAAGAAGGTGGAATCGTTACTGGAGTGGGGTCTGAAGAAGGTGGGGATGGGGATTCCTGCTCAGGTGGGTAGGCAGGAGCAGCTGTGAGCAGGTGGAGATTCTCTTTTCTCTGGAAGCATGGGGTGAACATCACTGAAGGACGGGTGGGGAGATATGTGGGGTCTAGGGGCCAGAGAAGGTCTGAAGGATCTTGGGGACAGGGAAGAGGACGAGAGAAGGTTGACCAGATGCCCAGCAAGGCTGAGCGGCAGGTAGGGCCCCCTAATGAGGTTGCTGCGCTTCCTTGGCTCCAGGTCCCACCTCCTCATCAGTGTCTCCTTAATCCTCCCTCCTGCCCCTCCCCAGACCTGTGGACCCAGCTGCCTGCCACAGGTCCCACAGGAACCACAGACTCTTTCCCTATTGCTGCTCCTCCCTGGTGCTTCCCACACTCCCACTTCCCACACCTCAGCCATCACCAAGGCTCCTTCCTGCCCTCCACCTTTCTGCCTCTAGCCCAGGGTTTTCTGACCTGAGCAACACATGGTGGCTCCTGTCCCTTCCCTAAGACACATGTGGGTGCTTCCTCAGTGCTAGCCCTGTGCCTTGTTTCACGGAGCTGCTCAATTAGCATTCGGGGGGGGGGAAGGCTGGAGGGCATCCTGGAAGAGGCCAGGCTGAATTAGGTGACTCCTACAACACCCCCTCCCAGCAGGCTGTTGGCCCCAGGATACACAGAAACCCACCATAGCCCAGATGGGCAGCCAGTGGTGCTGGTTCCCAACCACACGGTGAGATACTCTCGTGGGCTCTGAGGACAGGGTAAGGGGTACAGGGGGGTGCACTCCCTGAGGACCTCTCCACCATTCCTTCCCCATTCTCCTCCTGTTCTTAAGGAGAGGCTGGAGCCAGCCCCCCACCATGCCCTCTCTCTCTTGCCCCTCCCAGTTCAGCCCTGGCTGAGCTTTGGGGCTGGGTCTCTTGCTCTCCAGGACCACTGCCACTACCATGGGCGCGTGAGGGGCTTCCCTGACTCCTGGGTAGTCTTCAGCACCTGCTCTGGGATGAGGTGAGGAGTTCCGTGGGAGGGAGGGCCTGGGGCTGGGGCAAGACTCCCCTCACACCCTCCTCTGCACTCCTCCGCGCCCTAGGGGCCTGATCACACTGGACAGGAATGCCAGTTATTATGTGTATCCTCGACGAGCTGGAGACTCTGAGGACTTCATCACTCACAAGATGTTCCGAATTGGGCAGCTGCTCGGCTGGAAAGGGGCCTGCGGCCACAGGGATGCCAAGAACAAAGGGGACATGGCCAACCTTTCTCGTGCCACTCAGATCAAGGTCAGGGGCACAGATAGGAGGGGGAATGGGAATGCATTATCCATAGTCCTCCAAATCACAAGAGATAGGAATACACAGCCCCAGTTCAGGGCCTCCGATCCTGATATTTTTATTTGGAGGCTGAAGAAACAAGTTCTAGCAATTTTTAAAGTTAACTTTGTGCTTCCTGGGAATTGGGGCTAGTGGTCAGGACTCAAGCCCAGCAGCCTGCGGCTGAGGGTCACCATTGCCTCTCCCCAGGAGAGGAGGGAGCTCCGCAGGGGCCCGAAGTTCCTGGAGTTGTACATGGTGGCTGACCACACGCTGGTGAGCCAGAGGCCCCAGGGGCTGGCGGGGTGGGATGGGGCCAGTTCAGCCTGCCACACCCTCTTATGTCTGCCTTTCCAGTTCTTGACCCAGCACCGGAACTTGAACCACACCAAACAGCGTCTCCTGGAGGTGGCCAACTATGTGGACCAGGTTGGGGTTGGTGGAAAGAGAGCCCTAAAGGGGGTGATTGCCATACGGGCTGGCAAGTCCTAGGGGAGGTGTGGCAGGCTTGGAGATGAGGCCCTGGACCCGGGCAGAGAAGAGAGGGCGCCCCCACGGAGGAGCACGGGCACCGTGGCACGTCCTGTGCTCACCCCCGTCCCGTCCGCAGATTCTCAGGACTCTGGACATTCAGGTGGCCCTGACCGGCCTGGAAGTGTGGACGGAGCAGGACCAGAGCCGCATCACGCCGGACGCAAATGCCACGCTCTGGGCCTTCCTGCACTGGCGCCAGGGGCTGTGGGCACGGCGGCCGCACGACTCCGCGCAGCTGCTCACGTGGGTGCCTCTGATGCCCACGCGGGGTCCCGGCCCGACCGCCCAGAATCCTGGTCCCGCCGGGTCACGCTGCGTTCCGCCTTCAGGGGCCGCGCCTTCCAGGGCGCCACCGTGGGCCTGGCGCCCATCGAGGGCATGTGTCGCGCCGAGAGCTCGGGAGGCGTGAGCACCGTGAGCTCCACCCCCGGGATAGGAAGGGAGGGGCAGAGGAAGGGGAGGGGGGGGGGGAGGAGGCGGCCCCGCAGCCCGCCCTGACCGTCTCCGCTCCCTCTCAGGACCACTCAGAGCTCCCCATTGGCGCAGCAGCCACTATGGCCCACGAGATAGGTCACAGCCTTGGCCTCAGCCACGACCCCGACGGCTGCTGCGTGGAGGCGGCGGCCGAGCAAGGCGGCTGCGTCATGGCCGCGGCCACGGGGTACGAACGCCGCGGTCGGTAGGGGTGCGGGGGGAGGCTCCGCTGGACCAGGGGGCCTTCCGCAGCTGCCTTTCTTGGGGAGACATGGTTATCCCTCGATTTCCTCTCCCGTAAAATGGGGATATGATCATAGCACCTCCCCGAGAGTTCTTTATGACGCTTAAAAGGAGGAAACGCAGAAAAAGCGGATTCTCAAAAGTATGAAGATTATTTTCAGAACATTCTAGCGAGGATTCTCTAACCCCGGGAGGAACAGCGCTAGGTCGCGATTCGACCTCGAGTCCTGGGCTGCCTGGTCCTGGCGTGACGCCTTCCCGCCTCGGGCTCGCAGTGTGACTTTGTGCAGGTTACTTGCCCCCTTCGGGCTCTGCCTCTGGAGGATCCGGGCCGCCGGTGGCTGAGGCGCTTGTGCGCCCAGCCAGGGGCTGTGTGGCCAAGTACAGCTGGTAGTGGTGGGAGGGGATCCGAGACGAGCTGGGGGCTGAGGGTGGCGGTGCCCGCACGCCCGACGCCCTCCCCTGCCCGTAGGCGCCCGTTCCCGCGCGTATTCAGCGCCTGCAGCCGGCGCCAGCTGCGCGCCTTCTTCCGCAAGGGGGGCGGTGCGTGCCTTTCCAACGCGCCCGACCCCAGGCTCCTGGTGCCCCGCGCGCGCTGCGGGAACGGCCTCGTGGAGGACGGCGAGGAGTGTGACTGCGGCGCCAGCCAGGTCAGGTCCGCGCTCCCGGCCCCCCCGGGGTGGGGGTGGGGGCCCGAGGCTGGCGCCCCGCCCGCCCCCCTCCCCCGAGGTCTGGGGCGCGGCGTGCTCAGTTGGCCCCACATCCCCTTTTCGGCTCCAGGAGTGCCCGGACGCCTGCTGCCTCGCCCACAACTGCTCGCTGCGCGCGGGGGCCCAGTGCACCCACGGCGACTGCTGCGCGCGCTGCCTGGTGAGGGCGTGGGAGGCTCGGGGTGAGGGTTAGGGGCGCTTGCGAGCCGGCCTGTTGGTCTTGGCTGATTGGCACCCTCGGGTCCCCCTGTGGGTGCGGGCTCTGCTCTGCTCTCCAGCCTCTGAGCCGCGCTTACGGGGTGGACCTCTCCCTGTCTATTGTCCCTCTGTGCCTCGGCCACCCTCCCTCCACCTGGTCGCCTGCGTAGCTGAAGCCGGCTGGCGTGCCGTGCCGCCGAGCTGTGGGAGACTGTGACCTCCCAGAGTTCTGCACGGGCTCCTCCCCTTACTGTCCCCCGGACCTTTACCTACTGGACGGCTCGCCCTGCGCCAGCGGCCGGGGCTACTGCTGGGATGGCGCGTGTCCTACACTCGAGCAGCAGTGCCAACAGCTCTGGGGGCCTGGTGAGACTACCCGAGCACCCCGGCCCATCCTCGGGCCTGCGCTCTTTTCTACTCCAGGGAAGACGGGAGGGGGTGGGGGGCCTGAAGCCATTGTGGTCTCGCCCATGCGTCCTCAGGCTCCAGCCCAGCCCCAGACGCCTGTTTCCAGACCGTGAACTCCGCGGGAGACGCCCACGGGAACTGCGGCAAGGACCTCAAGGGTGGCTTCGTGGCTTGTGCGCAGAGGTGGGGATCGGAGGGCGGGGCGAGGAAGCTGGGTAGTGCGTTGGGGCAAGGACACATCTCGCTGTTTGATCACCCTGCACTTTCCTCCCCAGGGATGCGCAGTGCGGGAAGCTGCAGTGCCTGGGCGGGGAGCAGAGCCCACGCGCAGCGCACACGGTGCCCGTGGACTCCACCGTTGGACTAGGCAGCCATGAGGTGACCTGCAGGGGAGTCTTCGTGCTGCCGGGTGTCCAGCTGGACGTGCTCGACTTGGGCCTGGTAGAGCCAGGTACCCAGTGTGGACCTAGCATGGTGAGCCCTGCACCCCCGGCCCCTCCCTAATGCTTGAGTCCTGCGTGGGGAGCATCACTCCCCCTCACTGCCCGGTGCGCACACTGCCCATAGGTGTGCCAGGACAGGCGCTGCCGAAACACCACCTTCTGGGAGCTGGAGCAATGCCTGGCAGCCTGCCATGGCCATGGGGTGAGTCTCAGAAAGTCGACGGGGGCAGGTGGCTTGGGGTTCCTGATCCCATGGGATCCTCCTTCTTTCTTCTCCTTTGTAGGTTTGCAACAGTAACCAAAACTGCCACTGTGCTCCGGGCTGGGCTCCGCCCTCCTGCGACAAGCCAGGGTTTGGTGGCAGTGTGGACAGTGGCCCTGTGCAACCTGAAAGTGTGTCCATGGGGGACAAGTGGGGAAGGCTGAGGTGGTGCACCTGCTAAGGACTCAGCCTTCCCCTGTTGTCCCCAGACCACAAGGCCTTCCTGCTGGCACTGATCCTTAGCTTTCTGCTGCCTCTGCTCCCGGGGGCTGGCCTGGCCTGGTGCTGCTGCCGGCAGCCGGGGTCCCGTCTCCAGCAATGCCTCTGGGGCTCGAGGAGGGATGCCGCATGCCGTGGGTAGGCTCTGAGCCCACTCCCGTGGTTCCTGCCTGGGGGAGCTGGGGTGGGGTCCTCAGACCTTGTCCCCGGCTGCACAGAGGTGGCCAGAGGCGGTGGAAAGGAGCCCTGAGCAGGAGGCCACAATGGGTGTGTGTGGATTCCCGGGGGCCCTCAACCCCTCCCAGTTTACTGAGGTTCAGACCCCCTTGACCCCCTCTTCTGTCTCTCCCACCAGGGGGCTGCCTCACCCTAGACTGCCTTTGTTCTACCAACTCATCCTTCGGTTCTTGCTCCACTGTGCCCTTCAAGATTTTTCTAGCCTCACATGCCTTTTCCCACTTCCTCTGCCTAAATCTCTCCTGTACACCTTCCAAGTCTGCAGATGCTGGGCCCAGCACACCATTTCACTCCATACTGCTGCTTAGCTATGGGGCTGGCTGCCCTTGTACCAAGGGCCTGCCCTTCACCCAGTTCTCCGTGACCTGGGAGGAGGTCACATAGTACCTGAGCATGGTTGATCACCCGGTGCTGGTCAAGGGAGGCCCCCTGGGGCGCCTGGGTGGCTCAGTCAGTTGGGCGGCTGCCTTCCGCTCAGGTCATGATCCCGGCATCCTGGAATCGAGCCCTGCATCGGGCTCCCCGCTCAGCGGAGAGCCTGCTTCTCCTCCCTCTCCCTGCAGCTCTGCCTACCTGTGTTCTCTCTCTCTCTGTCAAATAAATAAACAAAATCTTTAAAAAAAAAAAAAAAAAGGTCCCCTATGGCACATCTGACACAGCCTGGCCTTGGGAGTGCTCCGGACAAGCTGCAGAAAAGGGCAGGGTTTGGGTTAGAGATTGGGGCAGAGGGCAGCCCAGACAGGGGCAGGGCACCAGCCAGGTCCCAGGTTCTGAGAGAGCTTTGACACAATGAGCAGTGATTGCAGGTCTATGGGGGAGGAGCAAGGTGCTCAAAGTTTGGTGTGTCAGCATCAGGGGTCCTGGAGGCCAGGCGGGGTGGGGGACAACCTGAGTGATGCCAATATCTGGAGGGATGCTGGGGTGATGGCAGAGCTTGAGAGGAATGTCAGGGCTAGAGAGAAGTGCCCGTGGCCCTGGGAGGGCAGGAGTCAGACCTGGAGCCTGGAACCCAGGGGCCTCTCCGAGGAGGGAGTAGGAAGGGAACTGGAGGCAGGGATGTGGACCAGAAGGGTAGAGACTCATTCAAGGCAGAATTCAGGTCGGGCATGCCTGCTCAGGACCACTGTGCCAACCTCCTGCCGTCTTATTGCACTGCTCAGGCCCAAAGATGTCCCAAACAGGGACTGCCCCCCCAGCAGTGTTCACCCCATGGAGTTGGGCCCAGCAGCCATTGGAGAGCCCCGGTCCCTGGGTGAGTGAGGCACAGGAGGAGATGGGGAGGGAAGTGAAGGATGGGCTCTTGCCTTCTACCTCCTTCCAGATGGGCTCTTGCCTTCTACCTCCTTCCAGATGGGCTCCCCTCCTTTCCACGTAACACCCAGTCACCTTGAGGCCCCTGACCCCACCTTGGTCACAATATGTGTCCTCCACCCATTGCTGCAGACCTTGAGAACTCTGCCAGAGCCCAGGAACCACCTTGAGAAGCCTCTGCCCTGTTGTGCTGCCTGCAACCCCAAGGTAGGTGGGGCCCCCCACCTCATCCACCCACCTCTGTTGCCCCTCATCTGCTGGCCCCTACTCGGAGGTTTCTGAGCTTGGGTTATTATGCAAATGAGACTTGATCTTGTGGAAAAGCTGTTGTCACGGAGACCAGATGCTGGAAGCCCCCAGGGTGGGAGAGAGAGAAGTTGTATCTCTTCCTGGGTCACTGGTCCTCACCGAGGGAGGAAAGGGGGTCCTGGCCTGCAGGGGTGACCCTTCCTCTTCATTTTCAGCAGATCAAGCCCAGAAGCCAAGATCCTGTCTCTGGTGAGAGGGAGCTCCCAAGATGAGGGTACTTACAGACGGTGGACCTCTGACAGCCCCTCTGGGGACTTGGTCTCCCAGGGTAGAGCCAGAGAGTCAGACCTCCTGCACTTTGGCAGCCTGCAAGTTTCTTCCCTGAGTTGAGCTTGCCCCACCCACTCCAGGACCCCAGAGCCTTATCAGAAAGTGCCCAGTACCGTCCCCATTCCTTAGGACTAGGGAATCCTGGTAGGGTACATACTCCAGCCCAAGAATCTATTGGTCCAAGGAGCAAAGTTCACGTAGTCACTGACCTCTTGTCACCAGGGGAGGCTGGGTCATGATGGGCATTAGGAGAGGCCTCTGTCCAGGGATCCTGGGTGTCTCTGTTCCATGTATTTTACCCAGACCCAGCTCCGTAGAGGCCAGTGACTGCCGGGCCAGAAGCCAGCGCTGGGGGCCCTACATTTCAGACAGAGTCCACTTCCCTGGAGCCTGGCCCCAGCAAAAACAAAAAACAAAAAAAAACACCCAAACAAAATCCTCGGGACCCTCCTCCCTCCCTTTTCCTGCCTTATCTTGTCCCTCAGCCCCTTCCTCAGCCCCAGTTCTTGGTCCTCCACTTGAGGTTTTGGAGGAGTGTGGGGACTGTTGTAGCTTCCCCCCCCCCCACTTTGGACACTCCTCAGCCTCTCTTCCATTCCATGGGAGGGGACAGTGGGAGCTGTTTTAAAAAGGACACCAAAGTAGAAGTCAGAAGAAAGACATGCTGCCTTTGAGCCTCTGTGAGTCTTTTCTGTATATAGATCCAACCCCATGGGGCTCCCTGAGGGTCCCAAGGGGTGGTAGCTGGTAGGTGGAGCCTCAGATGGCAGCCAGGGCCCCAGATGTATCTGGGATGGTGTTACCTAGCTGGAATGACCCCTTTGCCCCACCTCTTTTGCCTCCCTTGGAGATTCTGAGAAGCCACTTATTCTCTCCCCATGCTTCATGAAAGAATTGTTGGGTGACCTTCTGTATCAGTCAGCTGTTGCTGTATAACAAAACCACCTCCAAAACATAGTGGCCTAAAACAACTAATTCTGTGAATTGGCAAATTAGGTTTAACTCAGCGGGTGGTTCAGTTGGGCTCTTATGTTTGCAATCAGCTGCTGGTCAGTTGGGCAGTTCTGCTTCTGGGGTTGGCTGGCTGTTGGCTGGAGTGATGTAGACAAATGGGCTACGCACCCATTTTCCAACAGACTAGCTCAGGCTTGCTCACATGACAGCTGGGGAGGGCTCGAGAGAGCAGAGCAGGATTAGGGTAAGGCAGTGATGCACTTACCTTGAGCACAAAAGAAAGGCAATCAAAATAAGTAATATTTTAATGCAATATTTTAACAGATCAAGATCAGTGCCAAAAAAATCAATTATGAACAAAATATCAGAATTTTAACTGAAGACCAGATCAGTGACAGTGTGATGCCAAGTCACATTGGAACCTGAGGCAGAAGGAAATATTTGTAATAGTGATCCTGTCTCACCCCAGTCCCAACCCTGCCAGAAAGTAAGTGGAAGCTTGCAAGGCCTCTAGAAGATTCTACGACTGGCATATTTTACTTCCATAACGCTCTATTGGCACAAGGAAGTCACAGGGCCAGCCCAAATTCCAGGGATTGGGAGAGAAACTCTACCTCCTGATGCGAAGAGCAACAGAATCATGTTTCAGAGGGCATGAAGACTTGGGGGAATTTTTACAACCAACCATTCCTGCCATAGGCAGCAGAGAAGAGGCAGCCCCGGGCTCGGACTGGCCCCTATTCCATCAGCCCCGGAGGTTGAATGAGACAGTTTTCTGAAGCTGCCTTGTCTTTTTTTTTTTTTTTTTTTAAGATTTATTTGTTTGAGAGAGCAAGTGAGCAGGGGGATGGGCAGCGGGAGAGGGAGAGAGAATCTCAAGCAGACTCCCCGCTGAGCTTAGAGCCAGATGCAGGGCTGTATCTCAGGACCCTGAGAAAATGACCTGAGCTGAAACCAAGAGTCCGGACATTCAACCAACTGCACCACCCTGGGGCCCCAAGCTGCCTTCTGTCTTAATTGTACCCGTGAGATTTTGATTTATAACGAATACCTGAGTACTGACATGGAGAGGTTAATGCCACTGAAAGGAGTTACTATTACTTACAAATCCCAAGAAAAGGGGTCATGTCAGGACATGCAGGGCCACATGGGGAAGCATGAGGTTCAGAGGGGAGGCAGAAGCAGGAGTGAGGGAGAGCCTATACTAAGGTTTCTGCAGGAAAGGCAAGGAAGGGCAAGATAAACCCCTCAGGACTGGCCAGCTGTGTGGTATAGGGGTGGCCTCTAATGGTCTGGTACTGGCCCTGTGATGATTTAGGGCAGGGCAAACATAGGCTTGGTAAGGGTTAGGAAAAAGGAGGTGGTTAGGGGTATGGACTCTGGATTGATTGGTCTGCATGTGAAAGACTTATTCATAGGCAAATTTTCATGAACTCTAGGAATTAGGGTTAGAGGCAGTCTCTCCCCTAGTCAGCAAGCTGCCTCCCCTCCCACCCCCACCAAACCAAGATGTCAAACCATCATAAAATACAGAAAATAAAGAACATGATTGATACAGCTCCCCACACTCTCACACTTGGGGGGGTGTCTGGATCCTATGGGGCTCCCACTTATATTACATGTCTTTAATACTTAAAATTGCATGATAAAGAGAAAAAATTGCATGATAAAAATCGAATGATCAAAAATTGGGTATGCCATGAGCCATGAAAGCAGTACTTTGAGGAAAATTTATGACCATGGTATTTTTTTTTTTCAAAGAGAGCTGAAAGTCAGTGGGATAAATGTCCACGTTAAGAAGTTAGAAGCCCAGGACCAGATGATTTCACTAATGAATTCTACCAAACATTTAAAGAAGAATTAACGCCAGTCCTTTTCAAACTCTTCCAAAAAATTCAAAGAGGAGGGAACACTCCCAAACTCACTTTAGGAAACCAGCATTGCCCTGATACCAAAACCAGATAAGGAAATAAAAAGAAATACAATACAAGGAAACTACAAACCAGTATCCCTGATGAGTACAGATGCAAAAATTCTCAACCAAATATTAGCAAAGTGAATTCAATAGCACATTAAAAGGATCATACACCATGATCAAGTGGGATTTACCCGAGATACGAGGGTGGTTTGACATATGCAAATCAATAAATGTGATACACATTAATAGATAAAAATCATATGATCATCTTAATAGATGTAGGACAAGCGTTTGACAAAATACCACATCCTTTCATGATAAAAACTCCAAAACACTGGCTATATGAGGAGTATACCTCAACATAACAAACGCCAGATAATTAACAAACCCACAGCTGACATCACTCACTGGTGAAAAGTTGAAAGCTTTCCCTTTAAGATCAGGAACAAGATAAGGATGCTCACTCTAGCCACTCCCATAAAGCACAGTGCTGGAAGTGTGAGTCAGAGCACTTAGGAAAAAAGGAATAAAGGACCTTCAAATCAGACAGGGGAAGTAAATTTATCTTTGTTTGCAGATGACATGATTTTATTTTTTATTTTATTTTTTAAAAGATTTTATTTTTAAGCAATCTCTACACCCAATGTGGGGCTCGAACTTACAACTGAGAGATCAAGAGTGACATGCTCCAAATGAGCCAGCCAGGTGCTCAAATGACATGATTTTATATATAGAAAACCCTAAAAACGCCACCAAAAAAATTAGAACTAATTCCCAAATTTGGTAGTTACAGTATACAAAATCAACATACAGAAACCAGGTGTGCTTCTATTTACTGACAAATTATCTTTAAGAGAAATAAAACAATCCTATTTGCAATAGCATAAAAAATACTAAGGAATAAATTTAACCAAGGAGGTGAGAGACCTGTGCACTGAAAACTCAAGACTCTGATGACAGAAATTGAAGACGACACAAATAAATGGCAAGATATTCCGTGATCATGAACGGGAAGAATTAACATTGTTAAAGCATCCATCCTACCCAAAGCCATCTATGGGTTCAGCGCAATCCCTATCAAAATTCCAATGGTATTTTTCACAGAAATAGAAAAGATCATCCTAAAATTTGTATGGAACCACAAAAGATCCAGAATAGCCAAAGCCATCCTGAGAAGGATATATATAAGGGGAACACTAACATTTTTGTTAGCAACTTTTCTTCAAGTCTAAGGTTAGTTAATAATAAAAAGTTAGAATTATAAAAGAAGGGAAAGAACAATGATGTTTCATAAAGGTAACAGTCTGGCATGGGAGACAAGGTCTCCTTAGGTTGGTGTGTGTGCGTGTGTGTGTGTTTTCCACCTAGGCACTTGCAGGTGCCGGATGTGTGT